AAGTGTTCAGGCTTCACCAACCTGAGAAACCTGATGCACAATTCTCAGCTCTCGTTGCGGGATCACATATGTAGCCTCATTGTACGCACTGGTCTATTTTAACGGTAGCTCAAATCTTTGCACTCTATCCTCTGGTGAATCAGCTGGTTGTTGCAAAAACGTTCTGTTATTTTTGAAACCAAAATCAAGCTTGATGAAAAACCTACTGCGATTCGCCTAAATGAAAACTCATTTATGCTTTCAAATATGTTTTTATTAGTATAGATGATGAATTTTTGGGTCAGCCTATTCAGTATTTTCACAGGCACCAGGTACTATCGGTGATCTTGGGTGTGGGTTTCACTCTATGGGAGATCGTTAATTCCCCACGAGGTAAATGCACTCAAATACAATGAAAATATTTGTGATGACCGACAGAGAGCACTGGATAGCTGTTTCGTCCTGCTTGGGACTCGTCAGCAGTGCGTACTTTTGTGTCCCTGTCAGGAATCGAACCGCGAACCTTCACGTCGGGACTTCAAATCATTACTCTGAGCAACACGGCCGACGCTTACTACCTTGTGTGAATGGATCAATCAATTTAGACGATGCATGTTTAGATTACCCCATTCGTATTTTCGCAGGCACCTGGCACTGTTGATGATCTTGAGTCTGAAGTCCCGACCCGGTTCGAGTCGTGACAGGGACACAAAAAGTACGCACTGTTCGTGAGTCCCAATTAGGACGAGACAGCTGTCCAGTGTTCTTTGTCGGTCATCACAAACATTTCCATTGCATTTAAATGTTTGTATTAGATCAAATGAGTTTAACATTACGTACCATAGATCGAAGGTGTCACTCAATATGCAGATCCTCTTTAAATATTTTGTTTTCAGCTTTAATCAAAAATCTTCAAAGGTAAAATATTTTAAATTTGCAAGCAAGAATTCACTTAGAGAAGAAGCACAACCAAATATACCGATTCTCTAAAATGTTCACTGTCCTAAATATAATTTGATGATATGATTAAGCCTCGAAATTGGTCTTGAGGTAACCAATATTGTATCAACATCGATGTCACTTTTACTCTGGACATTTTCTCCAAGGACTTGACAAACATTCAGTTGCTTTACTAGGTGTGCGTTATTTTGTGTAAGCTCAACCACAAAATTTTGACTTGTTCCGGAAAATCACACTGTATCGTTTTTTGGCTCTTGAATACATCATTTTATAGACCATAGAGTGTTTAGGTCTTCTCGCTCGTCTACAGGAATAACCATATTGCAGTATCTCTGTATATAACAACATTGGAGTAGCTTAAGTTTCTTTATTGGAGATAGCTCGGATTTCTGAAATATCGGTTGTATAGAAGAATGATCCAATCCTCGCTGTCTGTACAAGATCGGTCTCATAGACAAAACAAGTGGGGTCCGAAACAGCTGAATATTATGAACCCCTTAATCATTGTCTGAAATAAAATGTCACAATACCAATACTGTCATTCGAGTCTCACCAAATTTCAAGGAACTTATATTTGGAATACGTGGAAGCGGCCGTCCTTCACAGATCGCAAGAGAAATCGTACTCTCTGAATAGGAAGCTATACCCTAATTCATCACGGCGACATTTCTCAAACCATCCCGAACAGTACGTGTACAAAATTTCCAGTGGACAACTAAGGCATGTTTTCATCGGGGGCCAATCACTTGGGCACAAATTTTGCTATCCTCATCGTAAGGCATGTCCGATTGATTGAAGGTTACAATTTGAGAACTTATTCGGATAAATGAGTTATCTTACACCAAAACCTTTGGAAGATCTAGGACTTTTTAACCCGTGACTAGTTTCAGCATGTTTCCAAGTTCGCAATCCAGGACTCTGAAGGCAAAATTAAAAAGATGCCTTGAAAGATCTAAAACATAACCTTAGAATCCTCTTGAGTCAGTCTGCCAAAAAGGGCGGACATTTTAGTTATGGAGCCGCATGTTTACGTACATCTAACGTTGCAAATTCTGTCCGATCAAACAAAGTTCACCTGCGATGCAATGCAAACTAACCAAAAAAGGGAAAGCTAACAATGTACTAAAGCGGCTTAGATATCAAGGACACATATCACTATGTTTGAAGGTCTCATGCCCGTGTGTTCCAACATACCCCGCTTATCAAAATAGCATAAACCGGAGATAGCATTTCATCTTAACACCTCACTGAAAAGTTTACCCTACAACTGTCTGTTAGTTAGCCAAACTTCTGGAAACCCTACATCAGAGAATCTGCCGATATGTAATTAGGGACATATTCCAAATTGTTGATGTAGACAAACGTAAACACCACTGTGAGTAATGTTCTCCTTGGGTGTTTTTTCTCTTTACAATCCTTTCCCTTCTGGAAGCAGCTGATTTCAACTGCGAATTCGACAACACAGAAGTGACATCCCAGGCCAAATCTCAAAGAACTTCAATTAAAACGATATATACTATTTTTTGTTTAAAAATACAATTAAATGCATTATGCCTTTATGGATTTACTCCTTGGAGCAGTTTTATGTTCGTGACCAAGTTAAAGATAACTACCTCGTCCGAATCTCTTAGTTATTTTGAACAATATTATTGCTATTAAGGTGATATATTCCACGTGGCTGACGAAGACATCAATCTTGATCACGTGAAGCTGGAAACAAAGAGGCACATTAGTCATTTAGGTATACAAATGAATCAAAAAAGGACGTTCATCTGAATGGACGCCCCGATAGCCTAATCCAGAGGAAAGATTAATGGTTCAGAACATGAAGTGGGCCATACAAAGGTTTTCATAACTTCATCCCACTATCCGGAAAACAACTTCTTGTGCTGTTTCCAACAGGAGCAAGAAACATCTGTTAAGCAGATACTTTAAAGCATGAACTGGAACTAAGGAGGAAAACCTTACTTAAAAATGGCTAACCTGAGAGGTTTATCGGCCAAATTTGGATTGAATAGAATAGGCCAACAAAATACCCCAAATAGAGAGGAGGCTTTGTTTGTTTGTTCAACTTCCATTCAAAGATGCTGCAGCCTATGGGCTATGATGTGCGTTCAATACGTCACCTATGATCGTCTACCGATTTAAGTGCACTTGTGTTACGATTCACGTAGATCGAACGACGAAGCATTTATCTCAATTCATCAGACCATACAATCCACAAGAGCTCACATATGGTGCGAGTAGAGGTCTCAAAGTCAATTGCTGCGCATATGCTGGAGACGGGACACTGTGATGATGTGCATCCGACCTTCTCAATCGAGTTGTGTTAAACACCCATCGAGAGTTATAAGGTTTCAGATGTTCGTGACCGCAGAGGTGATTGGCATCCGTCTCACAAAGCCTGAACTGCGAACACAACCAAAGTTGATTCAAACGGTCAAACTCCCCTGGCCGAAGGAAGACGAATTAGCTTACGCACATGACAGTGAATTGAAATCCAAGCACCGCGCCAAACTGAGGTATCTTTTACTTACTACCAACCTCAATTAATTTGGCTTTCTGGTTGGCCTTATTACATATAAATGTGGTTGTACGTGTTTGAGAATGAAATCACCCAGAGCGTGTTTGCCTGCATCAATGAGCTTAGTCTACGGCCTGAAAACCGTTATTGTTGGTCTTAATTCCCGGTCCTTAAAACTCCAGTTTGATTTCCACAGACATTGGAATTCAGCAACTTAAATCAGTGATCGCTGAGATAACTTACAAGGATTTCTCAAAAAGAATTTGCCGTTCTAAATTAATAATGGTCACACGTTCATACTGGATCAGAGGCCGAACTACTCTTTACGTACAATAATTATCTCATTATGTTTTGAGACTTCCGGTTTGATGGGACTGACTGTGAATCCCAGATAACCTCGCTAATTATCTCGGTTTTCAATTGCTCACCGCATGAAGGGATGTTGAGCTAATCGTTGAATTGACGACCACAATAGCAGTATTGATACAGTTTCTCGCCAATGTGAATACGTCGACGTTTTTTCAAATAGCCTAGGACACGGAAATATTTTTCACAATCTCTGCATCGATGAGGTCCATTCCCGTCTGAAGTAGATTTTGACGAGGGATGATCTGTTCTCCTTGACCAAATTTCATCTTTCTGTCCACATTCAGTTTTTGTCTCTCTTTATTGTGCATCCGATACTCTTCGCATGAAACAATACACCCGATTTGATACGCTTGCAAAACAGCAAATTATTTTGGAACAGCAATCGCTCTCTAAAGCTGACTAATTATCCATACTCAAAATTCCCCGCCAGCGTTATAGAAAGCGGATTAGAAGCGCAAACTTTCACCCAGCTTCTTACAAGTTAGGCTATCCGCATAGCGGAACATGCGAGGAGAACCAGAGCGTTCAAATGCTGGTGTCTCCTATTACTCATCTTTCCTCTCAAGACGAATAACTTTTTGTTCAAACTGGGGTTCCATTCTGTTACACTTGAAAGCACCGCTAATTTGCACTCCGATGGATTTGTATCAATCTGATGAAGCATGTTTAATAGGCTATCCTAGTCATATATCGATACACCCATGATTCTGTAAAGAGAACTTAACAAACCAAAAACTCACGCTTGACCGCAGGATAAGTGCAACAATGATTAAAAACTAACACTAAGATTGGGCTTTTTGTTTGTTTCACCAACCACTAGGATTAAAGTTCCAAGTTAAATAAAAAGCTAGCAACTTTGGTTGATTCTTGTCTATTGAAAGGAAATTGTAATTCGAAGTAGATCAGGGTGTTGGGGTCCATCCTGTGCGTGTAATGTGGAGAGGGTGGACCATTCTGGAGTTCGAAGTGAGACTGGTGTTTGGGGTATATGCTAAGTGGGATGTTTGGGAGGAACTTGAATAGATACAGAAAGTCAGCTGTTACATATGTGTACTTACAAGTGTGTGCGTGTGTATATATGACTGAGTTTGTGTCTATAACATGTGAATATGTACATGTATTTCTCCTTCAGGCTTTACTTGTCAAAACTGAATAAAAAGAAATATTATCACACTTGACCAGTTTGTACTTCGATGGAGCACAGACCAATCAGTTTCTTCAAATGAACAGAAGAGAATAAATGATCCACAAATGACGCGTGCGTCGCTAATGCACTTGCACTAGAAGCAGATGAACCATTTAGAGTGTGTGTGGCAACCGGATGCATCTCTGCTCCGGAGTTGGACGACAGATCCAGAGTGGTTGTTCCAGTTGTTGTATTGTTGCCAGAAGATCTCGTAAAAACTGGTATAGCCCCGGTTAAGTCACATCGAATTGGTATATCACACAAACCACAATAGGATGGATCGAGGACAAAATCTAATAGACTGTTGGTGGTGGTGAAGTTGTTGTTATTGCTGTTTGATGTGTTGGAGTAGGACGATCCGTTGGTAGCTCCGGGTGAGTATGATGAGGCTACACGGGCCATTTTTTTCTCCTTTGCTCGTTGATTTTGAAACCAAACCTGGACCACACGTCTTGTAAGGCCGATCATACCACCAAGTCGGTCGCATTCGTGTACCGAAGGCGTTTTGTGGTGAGCATAAATGGCTTGCATACATCGTGATTGAAGTGCAGTGATACTGGTTCGATTTCGGCGGGCACCTGGTGTACTCGGTGTGGTGGTGACTGTGGTACTGTGCGAAATAGAGCCTGCTCCATTTGTCACAGAATTGTTGGGTAACGGGTGAAGCAGATTCGGAAGTGTGTTGAGTCCCGTATCCGAATTTGTATTCAGAGTAAATGCAGTCAAATGCGGATCGATTGTGGTGAGAGGATGTTCAACCTGGAATAAGGGTACTGGTGCTGATGCAGTAGATTTGGTTAAATACGAACTGGAGGTACTCAGGTCCAAGGGTGCATCAGGGTTGGGATTGATGGACGCTCCCGGAAACGCATTGATTACCGGTGGCGGTGGTGAGCTAGTCACTTTCTGGCTCAATGCAGCGGCCATCATAAATGCCTCAACTTGTTTCTGAAGATGAAACGCGTCAATTGGTGATGGGTTGTAATGGATGGCTGGAAGAGACCCGAGACCGGGTGTGTTTGTGTCCGGGAAATATCCATTAGTGTTGGTAGTTGGAGTACTTAGAATGCTAGCAGATACGCGATTATCCCCAGATAATATGAATTGATGATTCGGTTCAGTCTTTCTAATAGAACTGTTCTTGTCATCCATCTGATGTGAATCTAAGAGAGGATTGGTGGTCTCACCAGTTGGAGTTCTCACAAACCAGTGCGCCAGATCGAAGGAGTTCAGTTGCTGATCGTTTGATTCGGAAACACTGGGAGTCGAATTGGATAAAGTGGGTATGAGATTCGGGTCTGTTGGAACAGATGGCGAATTGCTCATACTGACCGGAGAAGAGATCTGGAAAAAAAGTGGGAAATGCAGAAACTGTCTTAATTGATCTCGCATCAAGTGACGAGCACCGCACGGGGAACATGTAGGACGGAACATCTGTCTCATTTTTATGGGATTTTTTTCTACAGATTCCTAAAAAAGAATTTCCAATTGGGTCGACCAAAAGCGCTATCTTCCTTATATTTCTGTTGTATTTGATCCCTCATATTGATAAGCCAGGGCAGACTGATGGATAGATGAATGAATGGAGGGATCGATTCATAACTTATGCAGTAATTGATTTATTGACGACTTAATAAAATTTAATTGCCCTCTGATCATACGCCGCTTAACCAGATTGCACAACTTCAGATTCCAAACAAAAGGTCCGAGTGTTTCATAAGTACTGCCCATAAAAATGAGTAGTACACAGGTCTACTCCCACTCTGACACTAAATGACCAGGATTTAGTTGTGGTGGATTACTTTTCCTACTTAGGTAGTTGCGTAACCAATGACGGTAGTGCAGCAAAGGAGATAACCGCCCGCATTTCCAAGGCTCGAGCAGCATACGCAGGACTGAAACACTTTTGGCGTAGACGCGACGTTTCACTGAAGTTGAAAGATCGTGTGTATTGTGCTAGCGTTCGTTCGGTCCTTCTTTATGGTTGTGAGACCCTAAATTTGCGAGTAGAAGATATTTGTCGACTAGAAGTTTTCGATTATCGGTGTTTACACAGTTTAGCCCATGTTGGATGGCGCGAACTGGTTAGTAACGTGGAGGTAAGCCGTCGTGTGTCTGGGGGTCTGTCGGGCATAAACCTGCTAGCATATCGAATTCAGATTACTAGGCTTCGGTGGCTAGGGCACGTCTTGCGTATGCCCAGCCATCGTCTTTCGCACGGCGCTTTATTCGCTGTAGCTAATCCGGGCTGGAGGAAACCACGTGGAGGTCAACAGATGACGTGGAGACGAGGCATGAAGAAATGCACAGAGCCAGTAGGTAGAGTAGGTGTCTCTCGCCTTCCAGGTTGGGGTCCGAAAGACTCCACAACTGGTTCATTGGAGACACTGAAGGATATGGCAGGAACCGGCAGCAGTGGCGTTCTTGTTGTCGTTTCTTATCAGGTCAGAATGCTTGAAACGGTATGTATGCGAGTTCGATTGCGTACTGTGTGTTAACCATAGTGGCTCATCTTCTTCTCCCTTCCTCAAAATAGATCCAACCCCTGTCCACCTTATTTACCACCACTAACCTTGTATGCATTGTGAGTTTGGCAGCGGTCAGCGAAGTTCGCTTCACGGTATTCCGCTGTACGATGATGATGATGATGAGTACACAGGTATTTCAGTTGACGCTGTTAAATAACAATAACATGGTTAAGCCAACTACTAATCGGAATGGAGTTAACGTGAGCAGTTTATCTTTACATTCCGTCTCAGTACTGAAGCAAATTAATTGCTACCACACTTTTACCCAGCCTCAGGACAAACCAACATGCGGGGAAACAACTGTTGAATTCCTGGCAATCTTCTTCAATCAGCTCCTCAGCTTCTTTGTGAATATACGCAGTTCAGGTGCAGCTCTCTACTTGGTGGAGATAGAGTAGTTCGGGGGGATTCATGGCGCGATATGAAAACTATACGAATTATCGATCGAATTTCGCAAGTTCTTTTCTTGGGTGTACTATTTGTCCCCGTAAATTCGACCATGATTTTCAGTACTGTAGGCTAGTGCCTGCGAAAATCCATTAAATAGGTTCATTTAGATAAAATACGATTGTCACAAGAGTGAAACATGCCTGTATGGTGAGCGAGAATCAGTCACCTGTTCGATTGTGTATCTCGGGTAATTCAGTCAAACATCAGTGATTGAGCGGCGTGACAAAACACATACCTGCATGTAAGCTTTCATGCCGCAAGGGTACCATCACTTATTTATGAAAAATTCATAAGGAGAAATGGAAACTTGATTGATTGCCCAGCGTCGCTTCACATTCAACATCAAGAACATGGTAAAATAACTAAACGTAATCAAGATTAATTATTGTTCAAGACATGCGTCTAATCCTCTTCAGTTGGTCCAATGATAAAACAGAGTGAAAAGACTCAGAGATCACTGGGTATCTAAGCCTCCTGGGAAGCGCCTGTTTTTTAGTTTCTTTTGCAAATAACAATCATTTCTCCAAATCATAAAGCAGAATCCACTTTTTGTTATCAGGAGAATGTAGCATTCATCCCAAAGAATACCAGTAATTTGTGCAATCCAAATAAACGAACAACTTATTTCTTTTAAAATTTCGAGTCACGACACTGCATACAGCGAGTACCAAGAACAGCCTGATAACCTAAACCTAAATTCTAGCTGTAGAGAGAGAACAGACTGTGCTTTTATAAAACTTTGTTTACCAAGATACACTGAAGAGAAATGGTATTTGTAGAGCTTTATTGGAAAAAAACTGCATACACCTGAGGTTATTTTAATGAAAAATACTGCACGATGAAATAAGCTGGATTTTATTAAATATCATCAATTATGAATCGATCAGCATCCCGGAATAAGTTACTAGATTATAAAGTTCACACTAGAATCATGACACGAACGATATAGTGACCAGGTAATCGCTCATTATTGCTAAGTTATCTCAATAAATATCCTACTAAATAGGTACTGGTGAGACCAAAATTCTGACGTGTCGAATGATTGGAAACTTTCAGTTTTATTCATTCTCCGAAAGTATAGGGGAAATTGAAAGAAGGGCAAGTGACTGTAAATGAGAGTTTACGTTCAACCCAGAGTCTGAGTATCACATTAGCAGACTCAAAACTGGATACAAGAGTTAAAAATGTTATAAATTCTAATTACTATTGTATAATAACATAACTAATTTTTTTCGGGGCCGACACTCACCATTTTCGAAAATTGCCCGTCGGCAGCCATTTGATTGTAATAGAAAATTCATTTGTACTACTCGTGAGTAGGTGATTTAGAAATCCGAAACATTTTTGCGTGACACCCTATCGCATCTGATGGCGTGATGATCAAAGTAGAATTAACCGCCGGTAACAAAATAGTGAATCACCTAATGAAGCGCAATTTTCGGAATTAGCGATTCTAAAAAAGAATTAACATCAAAAATGGAAAAAGCACATTTTCTACGTTTCGTGCTTATCAGACTAGTGAGAAAGGAATTGAGGAGGGAAAAGGAAATCATACTTTATCTGTACTCGGTCATAAATACTTTTGAGCAGTGACAAGATTATGAATTACTGAAAGTGATACTTTCCCATTTTTCACGTGTTCCGAGGAGCTCTTCAGACATTGGGAAAAAAATCAGTGAGACTTATTTCTGGGTATGCAGTACAATATCAAACCATTCATGCAGCTGACTCACCTGTGACGCATGTCTCGGTGAACTGTACTCCATTCCGAAAGATCCCTCCGAACTGCATCGTGGGCGTTTGGATGGGTTTGATTCTGGATCTTCCTTTGGGGTGTCTAGAAGCCGTTTAGAGCCAGGTGCACAATCATCTTCATCATTATTATCAAACTGTGTTCTGGCCTGAGGACTTTGCAGTAATATCGACGGTTGAAACTCTTTTATTTTAGACGTATCCACATCAAAGGATCTTTCGGCATCCATTTTCACTTGTTTATTTGGCTCTGCGGCTATCGTGTCATCTTCTGATGGCATAGGGTGTGCGAGCTCAGTAGGAGCTGGTCGAACCTCTATACGGCCGGTTTTTTCGTACTCTTCCAAGTCAATACTGGTACTAGGTGGTACGGAAAAATTGTATGGGTTGTCTTTCGTTCGTTGACGTTCTTTGAATAGAGTGTTTCGAAACCAGTGTTTCACTACTTTTCCCGGAAGGCCAGTTTTCAAACAGATTTCAGCCATTTTCTCTTCGCACGGAGAATTGTTTATATCAAAGTAAGAACGCAATACGGCTAATTGGGCTTCACTCAATCGAGTACGACTGCGACGTTGTTGGTTCACTGATGATAAGTTAGAACTGTTGTTATGGCCACCATTATTTGTCGCACCAATGTTGCTATTCATGCCATTCGGTTTAAACTGCTGGGGTTGTTGAGTTATCTGCCCCGATAATACGGAAGTGTTGAAGAAATCTTGTAAATCCATCGGTTTCTTCGTGGGGGAGTGGGATACGGGCCATTTTTCCGTTTTAAACGGAACCAAAGTATCCAATAAACGCGACGGGAGATTGGACAGGGTTGCTAGCATTGTATTCAAACCGTCTGCAGCAGGAACAGTCGAGTTGTGGTTGGCAAAACTTGAGGAAATGGCATCGATTGATACAAGAGAACCATCACTGTGCGGAAGGCTGACAAGTGGAGTTGGTAATTCGGTAAAAGGTATCTGTTGAAACATCGAAACATCAGAAGCCGTCTGATCGGTTGCCATTAGCTTACTATTGGACCCAATTTTAGCCGGAGAACTTGACAACCCTGTTAACGGTCTCCAAGGTAACGAGATGACAGAACTGAAAGATTCCGCGCAAATTTTACCATTATCTGGTTCTCCAGATGGACAGGGATTGCTGGTTTTAGTAAGTAACTCATCCAGGATGCCCACAATTTGTGAATTATTTAATGCATTTGTCATGGGATGTGTGAGCTGTGTGTGTAGTGCACGAGATGTTTCCAGTGCGAATTGCCTAATTGGTGTGCAACTTGTACAGATAAACTGTGTGATTAACTGTTGATCATGGAGTCGATTTAGATGAAACCATTCTCTCTGAACACGTTCATATGTTTGATGATGGATTGTTGGACTGAAGGCAAGGATTTCGATTGCCAAGGCTAGAAACGCATCTGCATCAGCTTCGGTAATTTGGGGTCCGAGTTGGTAATTCAAAATATCCTTTGCTGTGTTTCGTAATGTGCAAAGATGATCCGGTTTGACGGTATATTCCCTAAGCAGATCTATCGCAGATCGAGGTGTTTGTTCCTTCTCGGTAGTGGTACATTTATCGTCCACATTGAAATTTTTTGACAGTTGGAAAAAATGCGCCGCCATGTGCATAAGAAGCTTGTTTGATTTTACCGATTGACCACAAAGTTGACAAGTCACACATGTGTCCTCGGTCGAATGAACCGGGTCTTCTGGATACAGCCCGGGTGTCCAGCTGAAATCCATCAAACCATGAGATTGCCATTTTGGAAAATTTGTCCCTTCTGTGTGTGACAGACAAGTTGGATCACCAGTTTTCACGCCCGTCTCCATATGACTGGATATAATTGGATTCAGCAAAGTACTAAAATTGAAAAGAGAACAAAACAGGTCGGTAAATCAGCCATTACATCTTAAAACCAGTGCCATTCACACTCTCCAAACTGAGGATCTCACAAAAGAAAACCCAGACAAATTCCTGGGCTATGAAAACCGTCTGTTAAGGTTCAGATCAGTCGCACCACATCCAGTACACCATGCTGAAAATCCATACATCCGATTGCACAATTCCACAAAAATACCAGTTGGAATGCCCGTATGGTGACATCAGCACTGGTGAAATAAAGCTGAAATAGAGTGAATTACGTAATAAAGAGTTATTAACGTCAATGTTGCCGAAGATGACAATACACATACACACACACTGCTTTGCTCTAAATTCCTCGTTCACCTACATTTTCTTCGTCATAAACAATACCAAAGCATCAGTTTGCATGAATAATTTCTCCTCAGTAGTTCTCAAGTTACATGCAAGATTGTCCGTTTTCTACACCAAAATTGGCCTCGAAGCCGATGTTCTAGCAGATTTGGGTTCATTCCTAAATGCCAAATTCAGTGTGTAAGCAGGAAAACGTTCGAATGTGATTCGGGACGGGGAATGAACGTTTCTCATAGACACACTCACACGCACACACACACACACACGCACACACACACACGCACACACACACACACACAAATTCCTCGACGATTTCCTCCTTCCTCAATTAATTTTGTAACTGACGATGTGAACGATAGAGCGAAATTCGTTTGCTATGTTCTCGTCCACATTCGATTCGGTCACCGGATTGCCGCATAAGTAATCGGTAATCTACTGTTCTAGGGGAGAACAATCATTAGTGGACTTCAGTAGACAGTCTAACACCCTTAAAGGTAGTTGTGCTATCACCGTTGTAATTTCACCACATTCACATCACATCAATGATTCATCAATCCCGCTTTGTTCCGGCAAATGGTTTTTAATGGGGTAAGAAAAACACGGTTTACCTGAATGAAGTGGATGATTTGATTCAATTATACGGTAATCGTCTTCGAGTTCCGAGCAAATGAAGTGTGGAATGAAAACTCAGGTGGCACTGTACATATGTTTTTGAACCTGGTTGTGTCCCATCACCACAAAATCAAATCAAATTCTCCATTACTTACATGTAACAAGTTATTAGATTGAGAATATTTCCAACCGAGTTATAACCCGGGAGGCTGGTGCTCATATAATCAATGTGAGGCCCACATTTCGATTCCAACTAAGTCAGGCATAGACACTGTGGAAAATGGCCTGAAACGCTGCCCGGTGATCAAGTGGGTCCCGGGTTCTTCCCTTTGTTGGGTCCATGGATTCACGCGGCTCATGAGATTCAACTAACTAATCGGAAACAGCTGTACAGCATCTGATACTGTTTCAGTTCACGCATTCATTCGCTCTTCTATGCTCGATGAAAAACACCGTAGAATCATCATTTCACATCCGATTTACAGTCTGGCCGACCTTGAATGGGTACACAAGCAATAAACCAGAATGAGTCGTTTCATATTGATGCTTCCAAGTGTGCTGAATCCGTCTGATGTTTGTTCATTTTCATTTTCATTTTGAATCCATTGCGACACCATGTGCTAAGGCAAATAGTAAAACGTACGTAGATTCGACGCACGATTCCCATCAGATCGTGAGCCGACAAGTCTATACACATTTTCCTATACACATTTTTATGTGCAAGAATAAAATGACTGATTAGGTTTGTGTTCCATGAAGCTTTTACTATCGATCCGCATCGTTTTCAGGTCTATTTAAATATGGCTTTTGGTAAATTGCTGATTATTTGTCGAACAGACCGATGAATAGAGTAAGGTAGTCAAACAAAAATGTTAACATGAATTCACTTCGAATGATATCCAACTCCAGACCGAAAGTCTCTATCTTATCGGTGAAAAGCCAATGAGTGTAATCGTAATTGTCAACTGGATTGAAGGTGTCATCTATCTGCCCATTGATCCATTCTTTCACTCGACTATTACAGTAATTCATCGTACGTGTGTTTCAGACACCTTTTACTGGACTAACTGAAACTAAATACAGACTGATCATCATGTGTATGTGTACCGCTTCCATTGCAAACACGCCCACAAGTGCAGGTGACATCTTGTTTTTTATTGCACACTATTGTGCAATTGCAAAGTAAATGGAACGAAGTCCATGGTCGTGAGAATATGTTGCTCATGGTCACTAGCTTTCTGAACACCAGAGCTTGGGGTGGCGAAACACAGACCGATTCGGATTGACATGGTATTCAGAAGTACAGATGTGTTTACCGCTGTTTACCGCCAAGTCAAATGGTGATGGCAAGATTCAAACCTCGGATGCCAGGGTCCAGAAAATCCCAGTGAGTGTCTTAAATCACCCGGCTACCACCACCAAGACTTTTTCGTTCTTTCCGTATCGATGAGAATCACTGAGTTATGAATGTGGCAGAGTGCAATTCAACGCTGGATTCGATTTCCCAAGAGCAACAGATGCATTTGGTTTTGAATAAGAAAAAGACGAGTTTTATGACAATGAAATCGTCCTAAATAGCAATCATTAATAAAAACACAAGAGTACTCTTTTGTCTCAATAATATATCCGTTGAGGACAGACAGTTTATTATCTCGTGAGCTACACTTATTGGCGCAATCAGTATCTTATTGTTCATGGAGGTCGACCCACGTATGAACAGGCAAGGAACGCAGAAAAGCTTGCGCGTGTGTGTTTGTGGGTGGGTGCGTGTTTGATGACGCGGAAGCAATAACCAGGTTTGACTCCCGAGCCCAATGGTTGCCACGTAGGCGCTACTGTTGTGTAATAATTTCCAGGGCGTTAAGAATAAATCAGATAGTAAGGCGACCATCTTAATGGGAACACAGGCACCACCAGCCATCTAGTTGCTAGTCATAAAATATAAACAAGGCGAGGCTCCTCGAAGTTGCAAGCGAGGATGTAAAGGTCCTACTCTACGTAAACCTCGGCTGCGGAAAAAAATAGATTACAAATAAGCAACTATTGACCCCGCATTCGAGCAAAGAACTAACTAATGAGTTCATTATCGGTACTGAATGAAACGATGTTTGTAGAGAGTTCAAATTTGTATTGTTTCCTCGATGATGACGCAGATCAGGAAGGGCAATGATGATGGGCCACACATCCCAGTAAAGCCCACAACTACAGAGCAATCCGTTCTCTTTCCCACCGTTGTTCCAGCACCCACACACACACGCACACCGTATAACACATTCAACAGACAAAACCAAATGCTTGCGAAGTGTTGTTTACGTTTGCAAAGATCCTATTCGGAATTATGACGTGTATTTGGTCTAGGAATTGGCATTTCTTATTTGATGATTTCAATATCTCTTATACAGAGCGGATATAGTCATCGTTGCTCGATTCATCGCCAACCAGTTCGGGCTGCGTCTATGGTATGGAAAAGCAATCACAACAATTCCGTTGGTGAAGCACAGAGATAAAACGACACAGCACCAACAAGGTTCAGGTGATATCGCTTTGCACTGTCCGCCAGATCGACGTAGATCAGCAAAATAAAACAACCCGTTTCTCGAAACCGAGAACCTCTAAGAGAATGGATTGACCGTGTTGTTCAAGCTAATCTGGAAGTTATGAAATTCGGCAAAAAGATTAAAGGAAAAATGGTGATTAAATCACGGAGAAGCACGGCTGTAGCCATTTCAGGGTGATTACACAAAGCACCGACGGATTTCTTTTCAAAACTACGAAAACAAACCAATTTTTTCTCCCAATCAGCATGCCATGAGCTATGCGAACTTATGGGTCTATTTGGAACGTTCACTCAGTTCATCCCTCCCCACCTTATACTATATCGTTTAACCCGGCACACGCATTGCGTCACCGAATGGTTGCTGATAGAAAATTATATAATTCAGCTGAACACGTGAACAACGAAAGTGATCTGCCCCGACAGCAGACTAATTTAGTTATGCGATTACCATTAAAATATGAAAGTCACTTAAGAAATAACGTTCCGAACCTACTTTTTTACTGCTGTACAAAGTATTCTCGCGACAAACCAAACAAATCACCTCAAGTGGTTTCCAAATCGCGTGATGTTTGAGTAACCTCAGGTGATAGATACTTAGTCCTGTCCTGATGCTCTCGTTTGATCAAGGTCGTTTCTGTTTCGGTCGCACATATCAAAGCAAATGCCTGGTGTATTCCTCACGGTGAATATCTATGGCACCAGTTGAATTCTACCCACAAACCAACAACGCATACACCCCCTATCCGACTTGACTTGTGAACCGCTGGCATATGGGTCAGCGGAATAAATGTCGAACGCCTGGTACGCAAAGGACGCACGGAATTTGAAATCGCTTGCTCAAACTGGAGTACTCGATGCAACATCCACCGTGAACAAAACTCATGAATGTCACTTTCACAAATATCCTTCCTTTCCTCGGGGGGGGGGGAGATAAGTTTGCACTTTATGAGTGAACAATCATGACCCAAGGCTACAGATCGAAAGTACAAAAAGCTGTGCACAACATACTCAGTGAGCCAATGACAAAAACCACTTCCATGTTTGATAGTCCACCATAGTTCCTACGGTAGTATCGAACTAAATACCCTTTCACCGGAACGTTAATTCTCCACTTTGATCGCTGCGATGATTCTCAACAAGTGTGGCCATCAAATTGTAGCAACATTTCACTCATCACCTTGTTTTGGCGGTACGCGGCAAAGCCAAAATACTGTTTGCATTCTATGAGCACCAAGGAACATCTGACTATAGGGCTTTACTGATTAGTGTAACTTTTGTAACTTTCTTGCCTCTTACCCCCGGGAATGACTGTACCGGTGAATCTACCTGGGCTTCAAAATTCTCCCCAGATCTTCTACAGTGCATGTACCCATTTATTCCACATTTCTTTAAACTCGCATTGTGCAACAATTGCTCCATTATCAAGCACAAGACTGAGGAGCGATT